AAGGGCGCCTTTTGCGTCTGGATATACTTAACAACAGAAGGGCGCCCTGTACGTTGGGCACAAAGTATAGGAAAACTTGCATGGTTAAGAAGAAGGGCGCCGCCTACGTTGAGCACCACTTCCGCCTCATTTTTACAATGCGAGAACTCTATCTTGTATTTCTAGTATCTTTGGTATAATACATACTCCAAGTATTGAAATACACGCCATCGTGTTGGGATTCAATATTTCAACATTAATTATGTCATCATCAGGAATAGAATACATACTGTATATATATATAGGTAAAATAAGCACAGAAGAGGTAGGTTTTAACCTGTAATATTATACTGAATTTGACTTTGATTCTGCCCTGGTCCGTAGAAAAAGAAAATTAATAAATAAATAAAATAACATAATCCGGTATCTTCACACGACTTTTAAGTACAGGTTGTTGTGCAGCTCAGTGTGTTTCATTCAGTTTACTTACTATATTTTAGTAAGAATTTTTTTTAAAGATATACTAATAAGGGTAAAACTTTACTGTAAATTGCTTGGTTTTGTTTTTGTTATGCTATTTATCCTTTTGTTGTTTTTGAACTGTCTTGCTTTCCTTTACTTATATTTTATATTGTTAATGGGTGCACCATCTAAGTGATGGGTGCCACTGATCTAAAAGTGAACCCAATAAATCGTATCGTATCGACCAACTTTTGAATATGTAATAATAGGAGTAAAGTATAACTAGGCCTAGCTGAAGTTAATAACTTTGAGGAGGCAATTGAGATCTGAATGTTTTTTACACTGTTCTTGTGTAGGACGGACCTTAGCAACATCCAAGGGAAGGGGTTACCGGAAAGGTTCATTTCCAATAAGTAACAGGTTAAATATTTTGCTACAAAAAAAAAAAATCTTGCCGCCAAAACATTGGTAAAATTGAACTTTGTAATTTTCCTTTTTTTAATTGCTTTTTAGATCTCACAATATTCCGGCATCATGGATCAAGAATTTGCTGTTGTTAAAAAAGAACCAACTATTTTCGGATATGAAATTAATGGTAATCAGAATTCAGAAATTAAAGTTGAAATAGGTTAGTTTTTGTTACATTTTTTTTAAAAGTTATTGTTATTTTTATTTTATTGTTCACCATTCTGCAGCAACAGCATTTGCTTTACAGATTTAAGGTAATAATAATAATAATAATAATAAGAATAAGAATAATAATAAATATGGATTTATAGTGTGTGTAATGCTTAAAGCTTCTAAGCGCTAGACCTATGTTTTGTTTTGATATTTACTGTATTTTATAATATGATTCGATAGTTTAGATTCAGTAAAACAATATATAATGAAATTGCAATTGAGTAACATATTGCAATAATTATATGTACTGTATAATAAAAAATGAGATTCAACAATGAAAAGATCGATTACATCAGGTGACCAATCCAGTGTCCGTTCGCACTATACTTCTTTCAGGGAAAAAACTTTACTGAAAATAATCTGGTGTGAACAACCTTGGAAAATTTTCTCAGTTAACTTCCAGCACCCATGCCGCTTGGTTAGTTTAACCGAGCAGTTCAGAAAGATTGATGAGGTTTAATTTTACCGAGTTGCGAACAGCGCAGCTCGGTTAAATCTTCCTGAGTGCACACTATAGCGCACACATTGCTAAACTTTCCACAGAAATGTATCAGTAATTAGACTGACTAATGCATGCGCAATATTTTACTATCCTAAACCCTATTGTGTATTAAAATGCTGGTACAAACAATGGTACGATTTGACAAAGGTAGATTTACCATCTGTGAGATGTGCAGCGGGCGCTGTGCCTTCACCAACCACCATTGCAAGACCCTAGATACGCAACTGCCTTTGTCCATGTGAACATGGCTTTCAGAACAAGAAGCTTAATATTAAACAATGATTATATTATATGCCTTGTTCTTGTTTATAGAACACTAGGAAATGATGAGTCAACTAGGCACAAACCTACATTTAAAATGATAATAGTTGTTGAGTGTGAGTAAAAAATTAATAAAAGAATAATTTTAGGATGGGCCTGTAATCAATGGTTAAATTTAATCTGGTTACAAATACCAAATGAGTAAAAGAAAAAGCATTTATTTTAATCTATTATTGACAAACTGGATGTAGGTCAGCGCCTAATTTGAAATGTTGTATTGGTACAAAACCGGATTAACTAATAATGTGGTTTTGCCCCAGAATATCCCCTTTTATGTTTTATTTTGTGTGATGTGCTCCCATTATACATATGTTTTTTTCAAGACAAAACCATGTGCTGAATTGTTACACAGATTTAATTGTATTTTTACAGTTTTCCCTATGTAATTGTTCTGGAATAAATCAATTTGTGGAACTTTTCAAATTGTTTTCATTTTAATTATTCTATGTATTGTAAATATCATGCAATTCAGCTGCAAGACTCCGACTTGATTTGGAATAAATAATAAATTGAAAATAAACCAAATTGTTGAATTACATTGCTCAGCTGCCATATACATAGTAATATTGACATTTCATCATATTTTCTAGGTCTGAACAGTGATTTTCTCAACAATGATGAAGACAATATTAAAAATAAAGAACAGTTGTCAGGAAAAACAGGAATTTTTGTTGCTGAAAACTCTCATTTAATTATTTATTCTGGTAACAATAACCAAAAGGAGAAAAATGTGAATGAATGCAGTGAAATAAAAGAGAAAAATGAATATTCGAAGGAACATAACAAAAGGAACTATGAAGGATTGACACATGAATGTGACCATTGCGGAGCGAATTTTGATTTTATGACATTGAAAACACATATGGGAATCAAAACAGAAGATAAATCATTTCAATGTAAACATTGTGTAAAGGGATTTAATCAGGCAAGCAAATTGGAAGAACATTTGAGAACACATACAGGAGAGACATCTTGCAAACATTGTGAAAAGAAGTTTAAACACCCTAGCCGGTTGAAAAGACATATGAAAATACATAAAAGAGAGACACTATATGAATGTGAATATTGTGGAAAAAAGTTTAAAGTCAGTCACAAGTTAAAAGCGCACTTGCAAGTACATACAGGTACAGGAGAGGGACAATTCGAATGTGGACACTATGGAAAGAAGTTTAAGACAAGTGACAGTTTAAGATCCCATTTGAACATACCATATTTATGTGAACATTGTGGAGAGATATTAAAAGATATTACCACTTTTAAGACACATTTGGATATGCATGCAAAGCAAAAAGTGTTTGAAGACAATACCATTTTGAAAGCACTTCCTGCGCCACAAACAGCAGAAGAACTCTACAAATGCGAACATTGTGGACAAAAGTTTAAAGATGGCAGCACTTTGAAGACACATTTGAGTATTCATACAGAAGAATTATCATACGATTGTGAACTATGTGAAAAGAAGTTTGAAAGTAATAGCAGTTTGAAAGTACATCTTAGGATACATACAGCAGAAGAACTCTATAAATGTGAACATTGTGGACAAAAGTTCAAAGATGGCAGCATTTTGAAGACACATTTGGGTATTCATACAGAAGAATTATCATACGATTGTGAACTATGTGAAAAGAAGTTTGAAAACAAGAGCAGTTTGAAAGCACATCTTGGGATACATACACCAGAAGAACTGTACAAATGTAAACATTGTGGACAAAAGTTTAAAGATGGGAGCACTTTGAAGGCACATTTGTTTATTCATACAGAAAATTTACCATACGATTGTGAACTATGTGAAAAGAAGTTTAAAAAGAAGAGCAGTTTGAAAGCACATCTTAGGATACATACAGCAGAAGAACTGTACAAATGTAAACATTGTGGACAAAAGTTTAAAGATGGGAGCACTTTGAAGACACATTTGGGTATTCATATAGAAGAGGTACCTGTATCATACGATTGTGAACATTGTGAAAAGAAGTTTTTAAATAATAGCAGTTTGAAAGCACATCTTAGGATACATACAGCAGAAGAACTCTATGAATGTGAACATTGTGGACAAAAGTTCAAAGATGGCAGCACTTTGAAGACACATTTGGGTATTCATACAGAAGAGGTACCTGTATCATACAATTGTGAACATTGTGAAAAGAAGTTTTTAAATAATAGCAGTTTGAAAGCACATCTTAGGATACATACAGCAGAAGAACTCTATGAATGTGAACATTGTGGACAAAAGTTCAAAGATGGCAGCACTTTGAAGGCACATTTATTTATTCATACAGAAGAGTTACCATACGATTGTGAACTATGTGAAAAGAAGTTTGAAAATAAGAGCAGTTTGAAAGCACATCTTGGGATACATACACCAGAAGAACTGTACAAATGTAAACATTGTGGACAAAAGTTTAAAGATGGGAGCATTTTGAAGACACATTTGGGTATTCATACAGAAGAGGTATCATACGATTGTGAACATTGTGAAAAGAAGTTTAAAAATAATGGCAGTTTGAAAGGACATTTGAGGAAACAACATACAGATAAAAAATGTGAACATTGTAAACAAATGTTTAACGACCATCAGACTTTGCAAAATCATAGACAGGATGTTCATTTGAAAACATTGAGGAAACATACAACAGAAAAATGCGAACACTGTGAACAAAAGTTTAAAAACCATCAGACTTTGAAAAGGCATTTAATGATACATGCAAAGCAAGGGAAAACATATACACCGTATGAATGTGAACATTGTGGAAGACAATTTAAAAGTAAATGCTATTTGACTGGTCATTTAACGATGCATGCAAAGCAACATAAATGTACACATTGTGGAAGACAATTTAAATATAAATGCAATTTGATAAGGCATTTAAAGATGCATGCAAAGCAACATAAATGTACACATTGTGGAAAGAAGTTTAAACGGAATCGTGAACAAACATCACCATTTGTATGTGATGAATGTGAGAAAGAGTTTAAAGAAAAACAAACTTTGAAAAGACATATACAAAAGAGTATACATACTGAAATAAAAACAATTGGATGTGAACATTGTGGAAAAATGTTTAAAAAAGTGAGTAAGTTGAAGGAACATATGCAAATTCATGCAGAAGAGAAACCGCATGTTTTGCAAAATCATCTGATAGTACATGCAGGAGAGAAATCACATGATTGTGAACATTGTGGGAAAAAGTTTCAACACAAAGACTATTTGAACACACATTTGAGAATATGTCATACAAGAGAGACATCATTTGTATGTAACCATTGTGGAAAGAAGTGTCGACAAAAAGGCAGTTTGAACACACCGTTAGGAGCGGCATCATTTGTATGTGAACACTGTGGAAAGAATTGTAAACCTACTGCTAAAACAATGGTAATGCCTCACTCAGTTTGGTCTCAGATTCACTCCACATTTTCATAAGACGATTCATTTTGAATGTACAGTAAAATACTGTACTATTGATTCCAATGCGTAGTTTTGGAAATTTATATTTATATACATTAGTACAGGAACCATTGTAATGAGCTTGTATTAAACAACGACTTATTTCCAATGGGATCCTTGAGAAAATAAACAATAGTATAGTAAAATTAAATTACAAGGCCGCATTGCATAAAATAGTAGGTTAGAAAAGCATATTGGTTTTGCCCGGTCGCCATGTAATTTCATTTAGTGTTTAATGTGTTCCATATGTGTTTGATCCAATGACCGGGGTAATAATGTGAAGCGCTTAGAGGCTTTGTTAAGGCATTAAGCGCTATATAAGAACGACATATTATTATTATATTAAAATGTGTTAATACAATTATTAAAAGTGTATACAATTTTGAAAGGTATAACAATTAATTATTAATACTTTTAAAGTCGTTTTTATACAGGTTTCATGGGCTATCCTAGTATACTGAACCATGGTTTACAACATCGCATTTTATTTAGTTCGATTTTTAATCTTTTTCCCAATTTTAAACTATGTTTAACTTTTAGGAAAGTCATTGTTATATTTGCTATTTATTGTTATGATGTTGCAGTATACTGAATAAAGTCAAGTCAAGCTTGATTTATAATGTATTATATACCTATATTTCAGGCATCTGATTGGTTAAAAAGTGGGTAATAATTTCAACTATCACTTCTATATACTTTAAATGATAGTTCATAAAATCTTGTTAAGTGATAGTACTTTTTTGCCCAGTTGCCATGTAATTTCTAGGTCCCACTTAACTTCACTGTGGAATTTATGACATGCACCATAAAAACGACTGCGACCTCTACAACGAGATTGGCCCTTTGACACCCTAAGCCTAGGACGTAGGCCTAGACCTACTTGATGTGTACTCTTTCCATTATGTTTTTTAGGCCTCATAGGATCTATGTATGAGGTATACAGTATAAAACGAATATTGACTGCTCTAGATTCGGGGAACGGAAATCTAGCCCCTCATTGAATTGGAGACCGTAGCCTACTATCTTCCCTAGGGCATGCCTAGGGCCAAAGGCCCAAGATAAGATAGTAGGTAACGGTCTCCACATCACCTTGAGGCAATAGATCTCACCGTTCCCCTCATGAGCAGTCAATGTAAAAAAATAAATGCCTTTTGAATTGAAACGAATTGAATTGAATGTACAGGTACAGTATGTGTATTTGTACATAATGTATGTACAGTATGTACATGCTTCTATTCAGATATTGTAAGGCAAGTAAAATTTAAATTTTACTTAAGTTAGTTCTGAATTTTGGTACTGTAGTTGGTTATAGTCATTGATTTCTATTTTTGTAATTTCATATTTGCCTAAAAATATTAATAAAGTCATAAATGATGAAACAAAATATCTATCATCACTTTTTCCTTATTTGCACTGTCATTTGTTGGAATATGCATAGGGTTCATTAGTATTGAGTACACAGTATACGCACCACTACTTCAATTGCCATTTTTTTCCTTATAGTGTGCTTTCAATCCTTGTCAATATTTATTTGTTTATTTGTTCTTTCGTTCGTTCCTTTGTTCTTTTCTTTGTGTATTTATTTATTTATAACCATCTTTAAGGAGGGTAGCCAATCCAGCAAAGTTGGGGCCTTCACATGCAATAAAAATACAATAACATTATATAGTGCCTTCACATGCAATAAAAATACAATAACATTATATAAAAACTATGGAACAGGTAAAAGCATAATAGATAAGAATTATAAAAAAATAATAAAATAGCAACCCTGTATTCGTGTAGTTCCCTGCCTGCCAAAGCTAATTTTCGATTTGAAATTCCATGTACCGGTTTCTATGGTCAAGCATTTCTAAAATACTGTACCAACCAAGAATATATTGACACAAAAGAGGCTTGATATGGATGAATGTGAGCATTAGCGACATTCAGAGGTATTTGATAGGTAATTTTAATAGCTTTCGTATGATACATTATACAGCAATCAAATTCCATCTTCTAGTGACTGGCAGCTTCGAAATACCATGGGTAAAACGTGTAGAAAGTGCCATGATGTCTTTGGTCGAATTTGGCACTTTAATCCAAAATTCAGCGTAGCAACAGCCCATTCCGTGTGAGCCAAGAGATTGTGATGAGGATTCACCTAACTTGTTGCCAGCTTGTAACAAGTGATGGCTACGAAAACATTTTTTGAGCACTTTTAATCCGATGGCCACTTAGGCAAGCAGATTTAGAGCATTTAGTCAAACAAATTGCAACAGTTTGTTTTATTGCTGATTCTGGTTCATAAGGTTGTGCTAAATGACATATCCAAAATGGATGCGAGTTTCAACCCAGTCGCCTTATTTGCATAAATATGCAAATTAGCTATTTATGTTAAGGAATTGTCTAATACTTGCAATAATTCTGTAAGCATGTACTCATGGTAAATAAAGTGTTTAGACCCATGTTTTAGAGACAGAAAATATTATTAGGATATTTGTGAATGATATTTTATGCATATAATTATGTTTCATATGCAAATTACAGTAGTTGCCGCCATTACAGGAAAATTGATTTTTTACAATAACTTTTTATCTAAAGCATTCAATCATGACAATTAAAGTGTTTTAAGGGTCACAAATTTATTTCGGTAAATTTATGATTCAAATTTAGATTTTCTTTCAGTAAATGACTGGTGCAGGCGAGTATAGTTGAAGGTGAATGAGTGTTAACTAATACTCAAACTCGTCTAATGGAATATTTGTACATACAGCAGTTGGTGCAAAACATTCCAATTTTTTTTACATGAGCAGATCATTTTGTCACAATATTCTTTGCACTTGCACGTATAATTCGTGACAAAGCATCGGGAGCTGGCTTACTGTCCATTGTTTAAGGCAATAAATGCCCACACTGTACTTTCCATCCCCAATCTTCTGGGGCGGATTGCTATAAAACGGTCTGAACTGGTAAGAAACTCCTCGAATAAAGCCGGCTTTATCACTTAGACGGTCTTACTAAAGTCATTCCTCTAAGACCATTGCTATAAAACAGTCTTCCCTAAGACCGCTTTGAGTATTGAAATGCAAACAAGCACTCCCTGGTATCGTAAGATTGAGGGCAACGTCAGGCGTGCTCGCGCACGCAAATATCGAAATGAACGTAAATAAACTCTGTAGACCTATTTTTACAGACGCTGAGAAGTGTGCGGAGTATTCGTCGTTCGATTCTCCGAATTTGACGATCTAGGCCTAAGTCTTGCCATTGCACTGTTGAATTAATCAGCAGAACGCCATGATGAAAATGATTTAAGACCGTTTTAAGCCTCCTCCGAGTAGGCTTTAAAATTTAAGACGGCTAACTGGTTAGACTGTGGTATAGCAATGGTCTATAATCATAGACCAGTAGTGACGTCACGATTATAGCTGGCTAACCGTTAAGACCGTCTAAAGACCGCTTATAGCAATCCGCCCCAGGTTTTAGTCTTACATTCCCCATCCATACCTGAGTCTGTAGATAAACTCTGTAAGAATGTTACTTGGCAGAATCTTCTGTTGGTGATAGTCTTTGAATGTCAACACATTTAAGGCTTTTTACTACCTTGTCGCCAAACTTTTCTCTGCGGAGAACGTTCAAAGGTACATTGTGTCTGCTATACAGACATACCAAAGCTTTTGCCCAAGCCTGTCTGACATCTTTGAATCAAACTGAAGTGTTTGAGTTTGTAATATCCATTTCGATAGAAAATCATTTCAATTTCATTAAATGAGTGATTTGGGGAAGGGGGGGTTTTTGGGGGGGGGGGGGGTGGCGGTTTGGTGTCATATAGTATTTGTAACATTAAACATGAAATTAGTTGTTGAATTATGTTTTCGCCACGACTTTTTTCTGTAATCAAAACTGTGTTTATATAATTCTTGTTACAATATCTTTTTTTCAGATGTGTTTCCCAAAACCGAAATTGCATAATCTATACATGGTTCAATTATGCTTATGTAATAAGGAGAGATTGGTGCAATGTTTTTGCCAATTTTCTCAGATTATGAATCTTGGAGATTACAGACTAGACGTATGTGTCGTATATGATAATCCCATGTTAAGTTTTCGTACTCAAACCCAAATATCTTCCATGTTTTACTTGTTTGATACGTCTTCTGAGATCAGATGAAAGTATATTATGGTTTCTAATTAGCATGACTAATTGCATTTTCAACATATTTCCGACATACCATTTACCAATATTTTCTACAATGTTTTGTAATTTTGTATTTAATCCATCAACTTCCTGAAACATAAATAGCAACATCATCCACAAAAATACTGCAAGTACCACGCAAAATAAATTTTAAAATATATATAAATATATATGAATAATAACCAAAATATAATTGGACCCATGACACTACCTTGTAGTGGTCCAAATTCCGAGTGATTAGGGGGCAACATTTCAATATTTATTCCGTTAAAGCCAAGAAAAGAGTGTTCACGTTGCAGCCTTCGTATAATAAACCAATATTTAATTTAATTGTATTAAGAAAAATAATTGTTGTATTGTATTGTTGATATGAATTACATTTTTTTATTTGAAGATGAAGGTTTATTTTTCTAATACTATTATTATAATATTGATAAACTTTTGCCTAATCATTTCTCCAATTCCCCCCTCTGCTTTCTGTTGTATCCGTGTTTTGTATTTGTTTCGTTTATGTATTTTTTTTTCAAAGAAATATATGCTTTCGTTATTATATGGGTCGCTCGCTACAAGTGCCACTTGATGAATGGTTTTTCCTTTCATCATTTGGCGTATACTTTTTGAGCAGTGCCCTCTTTCACACAAGTCTTCTTTTTTTTATGAAATCCGACTGTTCAATATTTACCTTTTGATATTATATTGTATTGTGTGAAGAAATAAATGTTTATTTGAAGATTACAGGTAAGACTTTCAAGGTATGAGAGTGCAATTTCCGGGCACCTGAGGTCCATTTTCAAAATGTTCTAACCTCAGCCCCAAAATTTCACTTTAACTTAAGAGTATTTCAGTGGCAGATTCAAGGTGCCCAGCCGGCCCACCATCACTATTTTTTTTTTTAAATTAAAATTATATTCAAATTCAGTCCAGCTACACTCTCCATCTGTAAAAGTCCCTCTCTGGGCCCAGCTCTATTTCAAATTACTGGATCCGCCACTGGATATTTTAAAAATTTCGTATGAAAATAAATGTTAATTGCTTAAAATCAATTAAAAGGCTATATGCGCCAGAGCTTCCGGGGCTTCGCCCCCTGGTCCCCAAACATTGCTTGGGCCTATGGCCCAAGGCTTTATTTTTCATCTCTTCTCCCCCCCCCCACCCACTGATCGACGCCCTTGTGAGGGAGTGAGACAAACTCCACTAACACTACATAGTGGACAACTATAATATTACACTGAGCTGAGTACGGTAACAAACGTGCTTACGCCCTCTGTTCCTTCTTTATAAAACAAGGTCGTAAACGAAACGATGTAGGCCTAGTAGAGCAGGGGGTGTGGTAATTTCGTGGCTGTCGGTCGGCAGGTTATTTCTGTTCTGCTAACATGTAAGGATAAGTTAAAATGTGATTTATTTATCAGTACAGTATTAGGCGTTTATTAAGGCCTACGTGGATATACGGATGTGGTGTAAGGCTATAGCCTAGGCCTAAATTCTCCCAAATCGAGCCTAGTAGCGGGGTCTAGTCCAGCACCTGAAAGTGTAGGCCTAGGGTAGGGTAGCGTACCAAGGCTTTAGGCAAGATAGATCCTAGTAGGCCTAGGTAAAATTCCCTCTCTAACTAGCCAAACAAACGAAAGGTAGCCTAACCTAGGCTACTACTAGTACTACTACTGTACGCTAGTCAATCTCAGAATTATTCTAATCGCTTTAACTGTTTTCCATGTGGTGGAATATTTATAGATATATCAATCATTATTGATGGCTCGTTGAAATAGTAGTAATCTTGTTTTTCCTCTACTTAAGTGATTGCAGTATTGCACCGACACTTGACATTTTGCTATTATCTAATGCTTGCAGCTCATCTTTTGCACCATCTCAATTTTGTATATTGGACAAATGTAATTTTGATCCTAAACTGAACATACATTTCATTTTTCATTTTTCATTTCATTTCATTTTTCATTTCATTTATTTCGTCCAACAAATACAAACAAAGTTTCTCCACTGATTTAAGGAAAAATACATAAAATGAATATATAAATGTCTGTTCTCGGGAAGTAAAAACGAGCAAAAACTGCCAAGGCCAAAAGAAAAAGTAAGTAAATAAATAAATCGCAGCTCAGCACCCAAGAAACAATGTATTGTTGCTCTCATGGAGCCACTATAAAAAACATGTGGGTATTTCCAGAGAGCAACAATAAATGATGGCAGCAGCAAAGCGCAAACAGCGACAGCAAAATAAGTAGCACAGCGCAGATAAAAGAGAAATTCAAGTTCATTCATTCAGTTTGGGATGAAAGATTTGTATGCTGCTACTTTGATTTGCAAGTCAAATCTTTTTGATTTGATTCATTTAATATGTTCTTTAAAAAATACAACAAAAACAAAAACACATGAACAGATCAAGTCACAAAAGAGCATACCGGGGATAACCCTAAAATTGCGAAAAAGACAATTATTTCCATAGCGGTCCCCTACATCAAATTATGTGAAATGAACAAATAAAACACTCTGCAGATAAAAAAACGACAAACAACAAAATATAGCTAATATAAAAAACAGATTCAGTCCTTAATTAACCTTATAGTATATAAATATAATATACGCACTAAAAACAGCATTTTAAAATTTTCAACCATCTACACAGTCATATTATTGAGAAGAAACTTTTCAACAGCAAATTTATATCTTGAGAAATATCTTCTCAGACAACCCAGGATTTTATTTGAATCATTTATAACTTGGTTCTCTTGACGGTAGTCTGGTCCTCTCCTATGATTTTGTATTCAAAATCTAATATATTTTTACTCCTTGTCTTATTAATTGTATGGCATTTGGACAGATTAAATGACGTATAAAAAGTATCATCACAACCACATTCAGTCTTGCAAGTTGCAATCCTGTGGCAAAAATGATTGCCCAAAATGCCCCAGAGGACAAAGTCAGCATTGTAATGTGTAACAAATGAGTGATGAGTAGGCATGTTTTTTTCAAGGCAAACCATAAATTTTTAACACCTAAAAGATTTTTGGCACAAAAATGTATTAATAAGGAACAGTACAAGCAAGTACTTACTCCAAAGTGTTACTGTAAGAATTGGTACTTTACTTTATCACATATCTGTAGTCTTTAGTAGGACTGAAGCCTACTGTTGACCCTTTTTGGAAAGTTTAAAAAAAAAAAGTGAAAAAAGAAAGGAAAATAAATTATTGATCACCCAAAATGCCCCAGAGGACAAAGTCGGCATTGTAGTTGTTAACAAATAAGTGATGAGTAGGCATGTTTTTTTCAAGGTGAATCATAAATTGTTGACATTTCAACTGATTAAGAGGCACAATAAGTACAGTAAGTCAACTGGGAAGCCAAACAGTTGGGGAAGCTTGATCTGGCGAAAAAAAAAAAATGAATTAGTGTAATTTTTCTGATGTGCCAGACAAAAAAAATGTCTGCTTGAAAAATTGTTAGTTCTTTTAGGTTTTGTTTTTGATAAAATTGTTAACTTGCTTTTTCAGATCTCTCAATATTCAGGCCTCATGGATCAAGAATTTGTGGTTAAAGAAGAATCAGCTATGTCATTGTCAGCATGCAAAATGAAGAATTTACAGAATCCAGAAATTAAGGTTAAAATAGGTTAGTTTTGTCATGTGTTTTTTAATTGCATCGAAGATCTGATCATTGTGGAATATTGACCATTCCTAATTTCTTGTTCACTGCATATTGTAAAAAAATGGCAGTAGTGGTGGACTCTTGTTTACAACATGTTGGCTAAGTTTAGCCCTAATTTTAGCTCTCCTGAATCAAAGTGGTTGTAAAATTAGAAGAATAATAACATTAAATAACTGTGTTGCTTTGTTTGTGAACCAAATTGCTCTACTGTATTACACTGGAATACTGTACCCTCGATTACGTTGCAATGTCTATAGAATACTCTCATAAAAATATTTATTCTATTTAGGCAAAATTAGTACCTATGAAAATTGCTATAAACTGGTATCTCAAAGAAAATTTAAAATTACAGTATTATATTTTTAATATAGATTTGTAATCATGCAAAATTTCACACCTGTTTATGATAATTTGTTAGTATGATGCAAGCAGGGCCAGTGGAACGTTTTTCAAAGGTTGAGGGGTGGGGTACTAGCATTTCTTTGCCATCATACAAAAATCTGCCAAAAAGGGGTTCCCCCGGGTCCCCCAGTTCTGCCAGCCATAGCAAGTATGCAAATGTATTTTAACTCATTTCTCATTTGATTTTCAATTTGATTTGTTTCTATACCTTGGGACAGCATACGGTACTTAAAATTTTCTCTTATTTATATTTTCTAGACAAGTACAATGAATTTCTCAGTAATGAGGATGAGAATAAGGAACAGTCTGTGGTCAAAACAGAATTTTTTGGTGCTGAAAATGATAACCATGAAGAGGAAAATAAGGATAATGAGGATAGGGAACAGGTTGTAGTGAAAACAGAAATTCTTGTTGCTGAAAACTCTCATTTACATACGTGTATCTATTTTGGGGATGATAACCACGTAGAGGAAAATCTAAATGAATGCAGTGAAATAAAAGAGAAAAATGAGAGTTTAAAGAAATGTTTGAAAAGGAACAATGAAGAATTGACACATGAATGTGACCATTGCGGAGAGAATTTTGATTTCATGAATTTGAAAACACATATGGGGATCAAAACAGAAGATAAATCCTTTTATTGTATACATTGTGGAAAGGGATTTGATCAAGCAAGCAAATATGAAGAACATATAAGAACACATACAGAACAGACACAATATGAAAGTGAACATTGTGCAAATATTAAAATAAAAGAGAATTTATTTCATTGTATACATTGTGGAAATGAATTTGATCAAGCAAGAAAATTGGAAGAGCATTTGATAACACATACAGGAGAGACACCATACGAATGTATTATTTGTGCAAAGAAGTTTAAAGATCATGGAAGTTTAAAAGAACATTTACAAACATCACATACAAAAGAGGTACCTTATGAATGTGAACATTGTGGAAAGAGGTTTAAATATAGCCACACTTTGAAAAGACATTTAATGATGAAGTTTAAACCCGGTCAACATTTTCAATCTCACATGGAAGTACATACAGGAGAGACGCCATTTGAATGTGGGGATTGTGGAAAGAAATTTAAAACCAGTGACGATTTGAGAGCACATTTAAACATACCATATTCATGTGAACATTGCGGAGAGAAATTTAAAGATATTAGCACCTTGAAGACACATTTGAGTGTACATAAAACATGTGAATGTGAACATTGTGGAAAGAAGTTTAAAGACAGTCGCACCTTTAAAAAACATTTGATAATACATGAAAGAGAAAGAATATATGGATGTGAACTATGTGGACAGAAGTTTAAAGAAAGGAGTACTTTAAAATCACATATGATAATACATTCTGAAGAATTTCCATATGGATGTCAAGATTGTGGAGAGAGGTTTAAACACAATGACAATTTGGTAACACATTTGATGACACATACAGAAACCCCATATTTATGTGAACATTGTGGAGAAAATTTTAAAGAAAATATACATTTTGAAACGCATATGAGGATGCATACACAGGAGTTGCCATTTGTATTTGAACAATGTTGAAAGAAGTGGGGAAATTTCAAAATGCATATGAAGATAACGTAACCGAAGAGAAACTGTATTCAGTGAAATACATGTGATAATACTGAAGAAAAACCAATATGAATGTGAAGAAACAATGCATACAACTGTCTCTTATACACATCTAGATGTGTATAAGAGACAGATGCTACTACTAAACAATTAACAACCGAAGAGAAGAAAACTGTTCATATAACAACTGCTGAATCAACAACGAAAGAGAAGACAACACCCTATGACACCACTGTGGAACAAACGACGACGCAGAGCACAACGGTTGATATAACAACTGAAGGATTA